ACAAAAATGGCTCAGTAAGGTATCTGTCAACCATTTCAGCCCGCGTCATTCGTGCGATATACACCCTTTGACGATCTTTTTGCAGACTGCGTCAAACATTTATCAACTAACTATGAGTCGTAAAACATTGGTACAACTTATCAATTCGCTTATAGATAATCGAAATGTATGCGAATAAATAAAAACTTAAATGTGGAAGATATCTTACGTAGTATCGATATTGATCAAATCTGCCAAATATTTCCAAAAATGGAACACGTTTCATTGTCCGTAAAAGAGCAAGAAGATAGGCTTCGAATTTTTAATGGACTTTTTTTGGTTTGACTGGCGCAACTTTGTTGAATTCATTCTGTTAATGCACCTCTTGCGGCAATGGATGAATGTTTGCAAAAGAATAGCATTTTTATCGATTCCATGCATCCTCACTTCATGTGTGGATTGATTAATCTGTTTATTTTGCATAGGATTTCTTGTATACATAAAAAAAATTTTTCGGGCAAAAGAAACACGATAGCTATTGACATTGATATAGTTTCTCAGTGACTTCATTCAGAATCATAGATATAGAACTTTTTTGAAAGATTAAAATATTATTCAAATGAAATAAACTGGAAACTTTATTGATCAATTTCTAAAATGAGATTTTGCTGATAATCTGTCAATTGAATACGATTTTTTATCTCTTGATATCTCCCCACCAGTGACGTAACCAAGGGGAGCCAGAGGGGGCTCAGCCCCCCCACCCGCAGTTTGAACTTACCGAATTTTTAAATCAAAACAAATACAATTATTCAGACTACTCAGTTTGAATCTGTGGTTATTCAAAGTGTATGTGTGATTTTAGAGTGAGAGTAACTGGTGACAGATAACAAATTGACGCATTTTTGTAAATGATCGATGTTTTCAGTGGTGCATTCGAACTATAAAGTTTGGATATGTTTCAAGAGTGATGAAATAAGAACTTGTGAAAGAAAATTAGACACTCATAATTCTATGCAATCATTATTGAATGAATAAGGAACTAATGAGTAGTTAAAAAACTTCACCTAGTGGATATCAATTATTGGTTGGAGAAAAATGAGATACAGAAATTAGTCTCACACATAATAGAGTCGTACTCGAGATCATACAAGCCATGTATCAATCTTTTCGGAGTGCGAAAATGAGAGTGAGGGTCACGCACGATAGATTTTCAACAAAAGCAGTCGGGATGATAGTTTAGAGGTTTTGGGGTACTTTTCTGTTTTGACCCCCAAAATTTTTTCAATGTTCTAACGAGATTTTCGATAAGCTACTTGCTAATAAATTTTGATAAGATTAATTATTAGATTGATAAGATTAACTATGAGATTGGCAATGAGCTATGTTGAGGGTGAGAGTGTGTGTTGACTCTCATCCTCAATTTTGGGGGTCAAAACAAGAAAGTACCGTTTTTTGGATAGAGTCTGTCCTATAAACTTGTTTTTATAAACTAGACAAAGATTGTTTACATGCACAATAATGTGCCATCAGATGAACTAATACTGAAGCTTTTGCACATCATCGTATCGAACAGCTAAATACCAAGTGAAAATACTCCATTGCCTGGCTGTTTATTTTGTGGATACGATAATGAGAAGATAATTAATTGATCCCACTAGAACAAATACTTAATTTCTGTCTATATAAACGAAACGCATTTCCGTTACTCACTCATAAAAAGGTATAATTGATAACTTTTCTTATCATGCTTTTACTTATTCTTTTTGATTTAGTGCTTCAATAAAATATTGTCCGATCCAAAAAATGAGCAGACATGTATAGTTTACATTTTCTTGTTGTGCTGCTCTTTTTCCTTCTCGATGAGGTCAAATATAGAAATACAGCAACATTACGACCAAACAAAAAAAAAACGATCATCTTATGCTTGACCGGACTAGACAGATGTGACTTTTTTCGTCCGATTGGCTCATATTATAATAGAAAAAGAAAAAGGAAATGTTTTTCTCAACCACTATAGATGAATATATAGATATTGCATTTGTTTCAAGATTATATGCAGGGTGGCCCGTAAATATATAATATTCATAACAGATTTAATGTTCGTTTAGATAATGTTTATGTCAAATCGTTTTTCTATTTATTCAAAAGATAACTTTCAACTTACGGTTTGTTTTGTTTTAATAGATAGAACAGAATTTTTGGTTGTTTTCAATTAGATATGTGTAGCAGATCAAACTAGTCACTCCGGTACTGCAAAGAAAAATAACTATTTGATATTTTCTCAGGTATTCTCAACTACTATAAAATATGAATATTTTCTTTTATAAGACGAATACTAATCGATATTTATTTTAATTGTAATGTAACAAAGAACTTTTGTGTACTAAAAGATAGATAAATAAAGATCAAATTAATATTTCGAAGATGATAAATAAATTCCATTTCCTAAATTAAATATTGTCACAGTTGTAGTTCAGCTTATGGGTTTGGAACTGATTGACCAACTCACGTTTATTTCAATTGAGCTAAAGTTGATTAAATTAACGATTAGTTCATGGCTAAAGCCATCGAAACAATTAGTTGACTGGATTGATTAGTGTTGAGCTGTGAACTATTAAATACCTTTTTTTGGAAGTTGAAAAACAGAAAAATGAAGAAATTTAATATTTCGTATCGTTTTAGTCTGAAATAAGAATGTGTTAGATCATTTCAAACAGTTCATCATGACAAGATCGGATTGATTACAATCGATCTAATCATAGATGTTCTTAAAAAATATATTTAAAAAATGTTGCTTTTTTCAAACTATGTATTTGTATTAAATAGTTTTCTGATTTTTTGCAGTGAAACAAAAAACGGAATTTGCCAAGATGGATGATGGACACATATATTGTATACGATTATAATGAAAAAACAAAGATTGATGTTTTGCATTTTATCTCACAAACAGAGTTGTTTTGTTTACATTTAAAGACTTATTTTATTAAATGATTTTTTAATTTTTTTTTAAACGAGAGTGATATTATATAAAAACTTTGAAAATAAACTTTCTTTTTCGCTTTTACTTTCAGTGTTTTATCCAGGTTTTTTACTTCGGAGAGGCGATTTGAAATTCCAAGGGGGCGAAAAATTATTTTCGAGAGGGCTAGCCGTGTGTTCGTAGTGCAATGATCACAAGTCTCGAGGCGGCGAACTCGATTTTCGGGGGTGCGCGACCCTCCCCCCCCCCCCCCTGGGCACCCCTCTGGATAAAACACTGTTTAATTTCTTATTGAATATTATTATTTTGAAAAAAAATCCATTCATAATTAATATCACAAGCTATTGAATTTGNTTGTGATCATTGCACTACGAACACACGGCTAGCCCTCTCGAAAATAACTTTTCGCCCCCTTGGAATTTCAAATCGCCTCTCCGAAGTAAAAAACCTGGATAAAACACTGATTAATTTCTTATTGAATATTATATTATTTTTATTAATTGAAATGAAAAAACAAGCAAATATTGTTTCCTATTTCTAAATGATTTTTTAGATAAGATGATATGTACATTTGAAACATTACCAAATGAAATTCTTCTTATCATCTTCTCTTATTTATCATGGTTAGAAATGTTAACTTCTTTATGGTCATTAAATAATCGCATAAATTATCTTATTTGTTCAATTGTTTCCAAAAATGATAATAAAAAAACTAGTGGTCTTATTATTAAAGAATCTGGTTTATCTTATAATAAATGTTATTCAAGATTATTTCCATTATTTAATCATTCATCATTATTATCATTTTGTTCTTGTATTCGACGTATGTGTTTTGATGGAACAAATTCAATAGCTTGTGATATTAATTATGAATGGATTTTTTTTCAAAATAATAATAAAAAAATTCTTCGCTTTCCAAATCTTGAATCACTTATTGTTACTCAATGTTGGTTATCTGAATCGTTAATTGAAAATTTATCTTTACTTATTCGACATCAATTAGATGAACTTACATTAATATTCGATAAGGAAATGTTCAATTCTCTTCGATATGAAAATCCATCTGTGAAAAAGAATTATGGAAGAAGTAATTATTAATTCTTTTAATAACTTTATCAAAAAATGAAATGAGTTCAACATTGAAAGAGAGTTATCTTCATAATGGAACTTTTCTATTTTTAACATCTTTTCGTTTTTATCTATGTTCAGAATAGTAGCTTTTACTACTTGATATTTATTTGATACAAACCTTTTTTCTTCTGTGAAGTGAAGAACTACGTTTATAGTTTGTGATTGATATGTAATAAGGTTCATTTGTTTGGAAAATTTTAGAAAAAAAAATCAGACGTAAAATCATGCAAATCAGACGAAATCGAATGAAAATCATGCGAAAATTTTCATCTTTGAGGTTTTATATTAAATCCAACTATAGGATCTGTGAAAAATCTTATTGTAGGATTTAATGTAAGACTTCAGGGACGAAGATTTTTTGTGCGATTGCCGTCTGATTTTAGAAGATCACACAGGATTAGAGGTAAGATCTTACCATCTGGTAATTTGATCTGTGAGAAGTGAGGCAGTTTTATTCGGCTTATACTGAAATCGCAAATTTTTGGGCCAAAGTCAGTCTTTTTGGCCATGTTAGATACGTGTTTAACTAATAGTTAATGTATAAATACCTCCGACTCTAGTGATGAGGGAGCACAATAATATAATGTGGCAAAACGACAACTCTGAAGGAGGATAAGGGTATGGGTATTAGAGTATAAACGTGAAAGTATTGCCATAAGAATACAGATATAAGAAGATAGAAGTATGGCTGTATATTTAATATTATAGGTTTGAGAGTATAGATGTAAAGATATATATGCATGAATATATGTTTATGAATACAAGTGTACAGATATGGCTTTATGGATACAGACTTAAGTGTATAGAAATTATGCATACAAATGTAATTTTCTCGGAATAAAGCCTGTAGTGAGAATGGAAGGATAGAGGTAAAGACATAACAGTGTAGTTGTAACGATATACGTTAACGATATATTGGTTATAGAAAAAGCATAAGAATTTCATTATTTTATATGATATAACTGATTTCTTATAGATTTGAAATTTTTGATTTTCAATAGATATATTGATCTAAAAACTGATTTTCGTGTAATAGCATTTATTTAAATAAATAAACGTAAAATGAGTTATTTATATAAATAAGAAAACATGTGATTCGAAAATGCAATGAATATATTTTTTTCTATTGACAAATTATAGGAAAACTAATGAATAGGTTCGAACATTTTCTACGTGAATTATTCTCGTCTCAATGTCAATTAAATTCTCTTCGACTTGATATTGGTAGTTATGACATTGGTTATGATATTGATCATTGTAAAAAACTATTCTTTCATTCTTTTCAAAATTCAATTTCGAATGAACTTCAATCTTATTGTGCAACTCTATCTCGTTTACATATTCACATAAGATACACATATTTTCTTGAACATCTTATTGAACATATACCTAATCTCGAACAATTGTCAATCAAATTTAACCGAACATTAAATGTTCAACCGCGTTCTGTATCATTTATTGAAAAACTGACTCAATCAAATGGAAATTGGTTTAACAAAGTAAGAGAAATATATTGTTGCTCTATTTGTTTTTTTTGATAAAAAGTATTTGAATGAAGGATAAACCGTCATGCAGAACTAATTTTCTAATGACGTGTTTATTTCATTAATTATTTTATTGTAAAATGTTATTTTTTAAATCGAAAATAGTTGATTACAATTTATTTTATTTAAATATTAAATGAAGCTATAAATCTTTTGAAAATTTCGATTGTAATGATTTATTTAAACTTTTTACGCATCAGAGATCGGCGGGGCAGCTAAACAGTCGGTACTTCTTCAGATTACACACACCTCTTCACCTTCACATAGTGCTCTGCCAGCCAATGTGTATGTGAAGTGTGTATAATCTGAAGAAGAACCAAAAAGTCATCTCGCCACCGCTCCGTCCCGACCGACTCCTTAAGGGGACCCCCTCCTTTCCCGACCCAAAATTTTCAAAATTTTCATTTTTTGTTTTTTCTGCTGTACCTATGCTTTCAAGTGCCCTTTATCCACTGGTGACATTTTGAGAACTCAAATATAGCGGTAAAGAAAAAATAAAATTGAAAAGATTCTTCGATTGCCGTAGGAGTATAGCACGATTTTTTTTTATTTTACGGTTTTCTAGAAACCAGTTATTTCATCAAAACTCTGCAGAATCGCCCTCGTTTCTCCGGCGCAGTACATCAGACATACCTCAAACAGCTCGGGTTGTTGTTGTCTTCACAAAACCAATCCTTATAATTATCGAACTACATAACCGCAAAATTTTTTCACAACTGTAAACCTGGAGCAGGAGGATTTCATTACAATATATTAATAGGAAAAGTTGAATGTCACAATTCAGTCAGGCCCTGAGACAACCACAAAAATCCAAACGCAATAGTTTGGGTTTCAGTCATGTTTTAGCCTTCTTCCAATTTTCTGTTCTATTGTATAATGCATTACATCATTCTTCAGTCATCCATCCGAAGTAAATCTTTTTCTATGTTTGTAGCGCATCAGATTATCAAAGTAGATGATACTGCCTAAGACAAAATCAGATAATCTCAGGAATGCAGAATCTACCCGTAGGCTGCAGCGGCGCTGCCGGGGAAAATGGTTCTCTCAGGGAAATTTCGAGATATCCTAACTCATGTGTATTCAAAACGTCAGAAAAGTTTTTCAGTTTGCTTTGTATGCTGCCGGGAAGGTCCAGCAGATTCTGCACCTCTGGATAATCTGTTCCATGTCTATGAGTTTGGATGCATGCCTAGTCGTAAGCAACTGTACTCTGAGAAATGTGGTGGTTCACACGACCTAGCATGATCATCGTATATCTCTGTGTTGTATACAAAGATATACGATGATTCACAGAGACATACCGTTCGTTTAGTGTCTTTGTACACAGAAATCATGTACGATTTCGGTTTTGCTTTATATATTGTCACGACAATATATGATCGGAATACCAAGCTACATGAATTGCGAAAATATGATCAAATAGCACGCAACAAAAGTTGTTTACGAGTGTATAGAGACCCCGTATTGGTTGTGGATATACGCCACATCACTATTTCATTCTATAACATGAAATAGAGTAAATAAAATACATCTAGATCATTTCAAAACACAAGAACTAAAAAAGATCACTTATTTTTATAGATTTAACCATGTTATTAGAAGAATAGACAATATCATCAGAAGGGGGAAAATCGACAAATCTCGCGGTGGAGCTGTGGTGATGTGACACCACAGCTAGCCAATCTCTGTTGGAGACTGTTTATCCCATACAGTTTTCTTAAAGCATTTGTTAGATTTTTTTTCTTGATATTACTAAATTGTGTAAAAGAAAGGTAATATTGAATTTTGAAAATTGAAATAATGAAAGATTTGATTTCGATAGAAATGAGAATGAAAGTTCACTTGGTCATAATCAATTTAATAAGGATAGTTTCTCCATTTCTTTTGATTATATTCATTTTTGATATGATCAACAGATTGAAAAAGGCAAATGATTTATTTACTTGAATTTTCTATTATTATTATTAAAGAATTAAATCTTATTCATTTTTCTGATAATAGGTACCAAAGCTACGATACTTTACTTTAAAAACTTTCATTCTAAATGATTTGGAATTTATCTATTTGAAATGGCTTCTCAACAATTTAAATCATGTTCAAACACTGAAACTTCGTCTGGCAAATGAAAAACCATATCGAACAGATCAAATGATATGGAGATCACTTATTGATGCAAGTTTTGTTCGACAATATTGTTTACCTGATATTACAGCTAATATAATAGATTTTGATTTTTATATTTCTTCTCATTGTCTATTACTACCAATCAATGTTGAAAAAGTAATTAATTCATTTAAATTTCATCCTCTTTTTATTAATCGTCAATGGACAAATGTAAAATGTCTTTATGATCCAATAACATCATATCAATACTTATTTTCTACAAATATTAATAGTACACTTCAATTCCTTCATGGTTTAGTGTAAGATATTTGTCTATGAATTTTTAATCGGATTATATTTTCTTTCTTATTTTAGTAATCATCCGTATCTTTTTGAATGGCCAAATATTCGACATATTTGGATTGATTTTCATCCATCACTTTATATATTTCTTGAACAACTTGATAGAATATTTCCCAATGTCTCTTCTATTACAGTTTATATGGGTAAATAAATACTTTCTTATTTCTACACTTTTCTTTTTAACCTTTTAAAATTTTATAGTGATTAAAAAAAGCAGTTATCCGACATAACAGGTTGTGCTAAATCCAGTTTCAACAATTGTTATTAGTTGGAAGAGAAAATTGACTGAAAGAAATTTCGTATTTAAGACATAATTACGAATATTCTTTCACCAAATCTAGCACAACGAAACTATATTTAAGTATGTTTCAGCTGATGGAACTAAAACTGTTCAATCAACTGATGTTGATTTGAATTGAGCTGGAGATGGTCGAATTAATAATACTGACTACTCATGAAACTCATTAATGATCAATGAGTAGATGCTCATAATTGATGAACCATTAGTTAATAATTAGTTCATGACTGCAATTATCGAAAGAATTGCTAAATAGTTCAGAAGAACTAGTCGAGCAGCTGAAATAATTCGTTTTAGCTGTGAAATGTCACGCACTTAGTCATATTTATCGAATTTTGACAATTTTTATACAGCTTCATTGAAAATCGTTCATTGTAGAATATCTAAAATTGTAGAAAGTTTTTCAAATTTTAACGAAAACTATCAACATCCGATCAATATGATTTCGTCATGCTAGATTTTATTAAATATGTATTCATAGATACGATGTTTGAAACACGAAGTTTCTTCCAGTCAATTTTCTGTTCTAATCAATTTCAATTGAAAATTGAAAATTTGACTTATTGCATTCCTATCATAAAATGAAATATATATTGATGAATTCATCTAAAACTTTCGGATAGAACATATAGAAAAAACTTATATAAGTGAAAAAATGCAAACTTTGATTTGATAATCAATCTAAATTTATGTTTAGTCAATTAAAAAAAAAGACAGCATAGAAAATGTTACGAGAATCAAAATTAATTTCGAATAAATAATTTTTCATTCTTTTACATAGAACATTATAGAAGTTGTGACAAATCAGACCTTCAGTTATCATTGACAAAGCCGTTCAAAACAGGACTGCATAAGGTGACCGATATTCAATTTCGAAATATTACAAAACTTAAATTTGGCCACTCCTTTACTCGTCGGAACTGTAAGTGCCAATTGGTTTATATTTTAAGATTTTATAAAAACACAATAAAACTTTTTCTTTCACGATATTCAACAGATGTCTCAGGTGGAATGAATCGAATACTAATCGTGAAACATTGTGGACTGAGAACTATAAGACACGAAAATGACGAGTTCCACAACAGAGGTTCTTTTAACTGGATAGATACTTAGTCGCGTTCGTGTCAGTTCTTCAATATTTTTATGTATTCTCTTTCTCATTACGTTTAGAAAAGGTCGTTCGAACTGAATACAGATACACAGATAAAAATATTTCTTAAAGAACGATGTGGAATCGTAGAAATTTGTGCCCTCTTCACACATTTTCATATGAAACATAAAATATGTACCAACCAGTTGCGTAGGTCGATAGACAAATCACCTACTTTCAAAACAACAACGATGTTTGATCGGAAAAAGTTATTTTATGGCACAGGTGTAGGAGTTTCACAAAGTGACATCAAAGTTTTGTCAAAAAATTTGAAATGTCTGTAAAAGAAAAAGCTTGTCTCTATGCGAGCGAAAATGTTAAAAAAATTTTGAATTGTCACCAATAAAAAGATCTTCAAAAGTATTGCTTAGGTTTGTCTGCTTGTATCTTATACGTCTCACATCTAATACAAACAAAACTGATAAAATAATCTTAGAAAATAAATTATTTTCGTGTCTTACAGTCTTCAACCCACGATGTTTTACACTTAGTTTTTTCTCTTAAACGTTTTATACAGGTTTGCAAAGAACCGAAGGAAGAACCTTTTGACAAGGAATTTGTTTAAGCAGTAAAAATTGATAGAAATATTTTTCAAAACACTGAGAGATTCATTATTTCTTAAACACCCATTATTTTTTTCATTTTGAATTTTCTTGAAAATATTTGATAAAAACTCTTTCAAAAGTGTGAAGACAAAACTAATGTTTCCTTTAAAATACTATCGTTTTTCGAGTTGTCAGGTAAAACAATTTGTCTATTCTTTAACTCTTATCTCCATAATATATATAACTATCAAGTGAATGAATGAAATGAATGAATATATTTTGTGAAATTCATCTTTGCAATCTAAAGAACATCGATTATAATAAATTGTCTTCCTTGTTTGAAAACTATGATTTTCATAAATAAAATATCAATAACATTTTTTTTTCAGATGCTTGTGATAAATCAATCGATCGAAATAAAGCGCGTGCGAAAGTGCTTGCTCATCTCATTTCAATGCCTGTCCAACTCGAATATCTTCTAATTGAAAAATTTCAATGGGTTTTGCATGTTATTGAATATGTAAGTATTTATTCTATCTCAATATTTCTTTATATCTCGCAATATCAGCAGCTGCTGAGCTTTCGCCTAACAGAATTTTGCCAAAATTCTAATTTTAGTTCTGTAACATTAATTCTGTCATATATATTTGTTTTTGGAAAAGAAAATTATACTGAAAACGCAAAATATTCACTCGAATTTTAGTGGAATTTTAGTTGCTTCAGGAAGATAAATGTTGCCAAATACATGTTCTCAATGAAATCAAAATTCTTAGTAGAATTTTATAAAAACAGTAGTACTTTGATGAAATGCTCGAATCAGTAAGAGAAAATAAACTCTATCATATACTTTTTGTCTCCAAAATAAAATTCTGCTAAAAATTTCTAAACATAAGGAGAAATTTAATAGAATTTTGAAAATGCTCATACAAGATAAGTTTTTCCAAAGACATTCTCTTCTTGATGAAGACGAAATTCTTTTTATAATTTTTAAAAAAAGCAACAAATTTTGTCAGAATACCGGAGATATCATGGTGGTGCTGCCGCTACTGCCGTGGCGGTGGCGGCGCGGTAGCGGCAGTTTCTTTTTTAGGGACATTGTAAAACTGCATGAATTTGCATCGGATTTGAGTGTCTACAAGTTCAGCAGCTAGAATCTTGATAAATCTGATGGATTCAATCTAAATGCGCTAATTTAGCACAGTGACGGAAGAGATTTTAGAAGAATTTCTGGAAAATCATCACGGCAGTGGCGCGGTAGCCTCGTCTCTCCTAGGGCCGTGGGGCGGCAGCGGCAGATTTCCAGCCACGATGGACATCTCTGCAGAATACTGAGCTCACCAGTGAAATATAACATATCTATTCTGTTCAAGAAATAAATACAGCATTACATCGTTTTAACAAGCAGAATTCAATCAAAATTCTGCTGATATTTTTCAGTTAGAAACATAATTCTAGAGTGTGAAAAAGATCATGTAATGTTTAGTGTTTCCGAATCATAAAATCTATGTCATTAAATAATCGAATAAAATTCTCAATATCCTATATAATTCTGTAATAACAATAAATATCTGTACCATTAAGAACTAATAATGCAAAGCAAGTATAAGCCCACAAAATTCTGAGTTTTGCATGACAAACATTCTGCAATTGTTGTTTTTCTATTATTTAAAATCTATCATTGATTTTTTGACTTACAAGGGAACGTATCCAACTGTCGGACACCGTTCAAGTTCATATCATGGCTATGAGTAGATTTATGTTAGATTATGAAAGCCTAAAAGAACTTGTACCCATGGTCTATTGGCGAAGAGTTATGGTCGTTTTACTGAAATTTTACTGAGAGCACGGCCAGAGCTGAGCATAGGACAGGATGGTCATGCTATCCTGTCCTGTCCTGTCCTGTAGGGCAGGACGAAGCTAAAATTTTCGTCCTGTCCTGTGCTCATCTCTAAGCACGGTATTTAAAAAAAAATAACGACTTTTGACCTGAAATTTTGTCTATAGATAGATTTAATAGTCATTAGATAGTCCTGAAAGTTTCAACTCGAACGAACATATCTTTCTCGAACTGTTAAAAAAACAGCCGTTTAGTATAGGGGGACACAATAAGCCAGTCCACTTAGAAATTGAATATCTCGAGAAAGATATCTTCGTGAGAGTTGAAATTTTCACGACTATCTAACGACTATTAAATCTATCTATAGGCAAAATTTCAGGTCAAAGCTCTTTATTTTAGTTTTTTCGAAAATGTCTTGCTCCTAGTAAAAAGGCTGTAACTCTTTTCCAGTAAGCCATTAGAACAAGTCCCTTCAAACTTTTCATAGTTTCACAGGGACCTACTCGTAGTCATAATATGAAGTTCAACTGTGTCCGACACATGAATATGTTCCCTCGTTAGTTCTGTTGTGTTGTATTTAATTTAACAGAGTTGTTTTCGTATGTTATTTTTAGGCATTTAATGAATTAAAAGAAAATGCATTAAGTACTGTTCGATATTTTGAATGTGATATTCCTAGTTGTCATCGTAGTTCAAATGAATCAATTTATATTGGTAAACAACTTGTACCTTTTCTTACGATTTATATGCCTCATTTACACACATTACGTCTTTGGCGACCAGATGATTTTCCTTGGACAACTGGTAAGTTTATTTGAAATAAAAGAAAATTAATTATAATAGTTTGACAGATATTTCTATACCAATGTAAATGAAAAATTCTGTTTTTGAGATTTAGGAAAACAGTTGTTTTTATAACACTTCAATTGAAATTACACTTGTTCTAATTGAGTATATATCAGTTAGTAGAGACTCGATATATCAAAAGTAAATTTGGATTTTTGAAAAGTTCTTATTCCGTCTCTTGAGATGTTTGAATTCGATGAAAAATAAACTTAATCTTAATCAAAGAACTTTGAAAAAAGCTTCTTAGTGTATAGCTCTTGAATGGAATGAAATATGGAGTTCACACGTCTTTTTCAGCTTTCTTATACTAATACAAAATTATATGACATGAAGAGTCTACAATAAATGACAGTCCTTTTCCAAGGATATTTTATCATATAAGAAATCACTATGCCTTATTTATTTCTACATGTTGGATATACATTTCTTTCTTTGATTTGCTATTGCTAGTGTGTGTTCTATTGTGCGAGACCAATAAAGTTTAAGCAAGCAATTTACATGAGTGACTTTTTTCTTGTTAAAAAAGAAAAAGTTCTTAGGATAAATATATGAATTGCATATCTCGTTTTAGCATCTCTTCGCTAGAAAAGCTCCAGAAGTTAGTTTTTTACTCTCACAGTTATAGTAGAAGCTATGTGACAAAATACAAAAAGAAGCTACGCAATATAGATTAAAAGAATTGTCTAAATATGAGAAGTATGCATAAACTATTTAATTGGATGAAATGTCAAAAGCAATACACCTTATATAATCAAATCACTCATTCATGTTCCTCATATGTGATTATCTTTGGAAATTATAAAACGAATAGATATGATTACGTCAGTTCAAAAAGTTGTCCAACTTTTTTCTGTTCATTGAAAAGAATGCACCATCAATTTAATCTAATTCATTTGATAACTGTGGGCAAGTTTTCTTAATTCACTTCGAGTGATTTCATAAGCTTTGATAAATATTTTTAACTACATCTATAAATACAAACCGAACTGACTGAAAGTGAATATAATAGAGTTGAATTGAGCTCCTTTTGACTTGAAATGTTCAGCTCTAAAGAGAATAATTCTTTGGTGTCTTAATTATTTTTAGAGACACTTGAAACCAATTGGTAGATCAAAGCAAGACTGAAGTTTTTCGAGAAGTGGTACGGCTTCCATGGAATCATTTTTCCCTAATGTTCGGACGAGTGAGATTTGAGTTTAACTTAGTCGGATCGGATCAGCTTTGGTTTGAAAAGTTCAATATGCCGAAGACTATAGTCACTATGCGCTTGTTACTTATTTGCTGCTTGTGTTCCGGTTTTTTTAAAATTTGTTATTTCCTTATTCTTTTTTTTCTTTGATTTTGCTGCCACAATAGCTAGCTGTACACCAAAGACCGAAAACGAACCGAACCGAACTCGAACCATTTCTTGAAAAATGATGTCGAACCGAACCTAACTAATATTGGTTGAACTATCTCCTATTTCGTAAAAATATATGTTGTTGACAATGATCAAGCGAGCTTTGACTGATTGTTTTGCATAGTTAATTTAATCTCCATACAGCGTTTCGTTCTCTATTCATAGCAAATACACATAACGTGTCTATGATGATCGGTCACTTGTATGCGGCGTAAATTTTTAATTCATTTCTCTTTTTTTTTCTCATTGTTTTGTGCTGCAAAGAACAGACGGATGCTCGTCTAATTAACAACAGCATATTATTCTTAAGTAGAGACCTGCGTGACCATTTTGTCGTGACCAAAGAAAACAAAGATTGTTCAATCATAGTTTCCATGGTGGATGTGAAAAAATAATTCTACTTGATATTTTGTGTTCAGAATTTTAAGCTCTTCAAAATGACATAAAAAAGTCGAAGATATTATGAACTGCAGCGGAAAAAACTGCGGCACATTCGTCGTGACCAGAAAGCTTCGTGACTGGCCATTACCAAGATTGATCACAACGAATGTGCCGCAGTTTTTTTCCGCTGCAGTTCATAATATCTTCGACTTTTTTATGTCATTTTGAAGAGCTTAAAATTCTGAACACAGAATATCAAGTAGAATTATTTTTTCACATCCACGATGGAAACTATGATAGAACAATCTTTGTTTTCTTTGGTCACGACAAAATGGTCACGCAGGTCTCTATTCTTAAGTAATTGACCTATCGTCATCGTCATCTTTCCTTCACTTATATCGGATAAATTTAAAAGAGTTGAATAGAGACTGAAATACTTGTTATAGTTCAAGATGAATTACTATTTATACATTGGACGAGTGATCTACGATACAATCGTGATGCACAAGCGCAGTGTAATTTAGAAGCTTTTCTTGTTGTAAGTATGTGAAATCTGAGCTAAACCGAACCAAACCGAAATCGAACTGACTTTTCGAAAAATGCACCCGAACTGATTTTTCAGAAATGCACTCGAACTGAACCGAACCCAAACTGACTCTCGAAAAATGAATTCGAATCGAACCGAACTCCATCCAGAAAAATCCGGTTCAATTCGGTCTCTGTTGTACGCATTTATCTAATCGTTCAGTTTTCTCAATGCTCACTATTCTATATCACAATGAACTTTGAAATCCTTATGTTGATTTTGGTCTCAAGTTAAAATTCAATTAGCTCATTTTTTTGTCAGTTCTATGCTGCGATTGTATAAAATATCAAAATCTGCGCTGTTTAGATCATTTAGAAACTATTATGGACATTTAGAGTTCACAGAATACAGTGGAAGAATACAGAGTATTCTACGTATTGTTGTTACTGGTTAGCATTCTTTTGGTTAATAAGAGACCGTGTGTATGTGAGAGAGCATGTTTTATACCCATTGATTTCGGTTGCTAAAGCGAAATTTGTTTTTATTGATCTGTGATTTCGATTGTTAGAGTCTAGAAGAAAGCCGGAAAAACTCGACTTAAAATTGCATTTAGTATTTTTCTTCGAAAAACATATATGAGCGCCACAACAGAAAGTCTTATGATGTTTTAAACTTCGTACTAAACATAACTGAGATATATGAGGATATTTATCTTCTTCCTTATTTCAGACTGAACTTCATGAACGATATTGTTTTTATTCATTGTTATATATTATCATATTTAAAATTATGTCTAAGTTAGTCAAGTTAATTTGAAATAATATATTTCAAGTAATGATATTCTCCTCATTTGTTCCTATGACTATTCTGAATATCGATTATACACTAACAAAAAAAAATAAGATTGACAAGAATATTATTATTTGTTTCTTAATTTTAATAAATGTATCATTGCCATTAGAGTATGGGAAAATAAAAGAAGAGAACAAATTTATAATTCAAAAAATGAACTACACTTTGAGTATTGTTTTTATCTATTTGTTTCTATAACACAGGGTTGGAAATAATATTATTCCAGGGAGTACCGCTATAATTTCAAATAGAAGACATAATGAATTTTATATCAAATGAAAACCCGTCAAAA